AGTCTGACCATCATTTATTTTTTATTTCTTTTTCGCATTTCTAAATTACCTATCTCAAAGAGGGACTCTGAATGATGTACAATAAACTGTCAGAATATAAAAACAGTATATATTTTTTTACTTTTCAGAACTAAAATTTCAAAATTAAAACTTTTTTTTAAGAAGGAGGGAAAAATAATTAAGCCCTGTTAAAAATCCATTGAAAAGGTGAAGGGAGGGTTCTCAGGGCACCAACCAGCCCCACAGCTGCATGCTCTTTTGGGCTCCACAAATGAGGGCACAGAGCCAAGTTTTAACTCCTTTTCGGAAGGCCAAGAGGGTGAGGGCCTGCCTCACACCCAGGGGGAAAATATTCCACAGGATGGGTGAAATGGCAAAGAGGGCTCTCTTTTTAGACTCCATCATGGTCGGAACTTGTGACAGTTGTAAAGCAGATTGGTCTTGTGATCAACCTGATTTTATAACTTTTTGAAGCAATTGTTAAGCGAATGCTGCGGTCATTACATGAACCAATGGATGCAGTTTTGCCAAAAAAGAAAAATCACTCCAAAAGTAAATGTTGGTTTTTAGCAAAATCTTAATAAATGTGGGGTCATATGATCACAGGATGCTGCAGTCATAAATGCAGCCCAGTTGCCAAGCGCCTGAAATGTGGTTATGTAACAGTGGGGGCAACTGTTGGAACTTCACATCTGGTTCCTAAGTACCTTTGCTAGATCCGTTGGAACGTTGGTCACTAAGCAGCCAGTTGTTAAGTCAAGGACTATCTGTATTCACCCATTTTATAAGTATCTATCAGGATTTCTAATGTGCTTAGAAGCTCATAAAATTATGGTTCCCTGCTCCAAATATTACTTTAACTATTGGAAAATTCAGATACCATTAACTGCTATGCTGGACAGACTGATGGGTGTAACTCCAAAATCTAGGATACTTTCCCCCCTGCTTACATAACCTATCCAGTCCACAAAACAGGGTTTATGAGGGCCAGGGAAGTGTGCACCGAAGTAAACGGTTGTTCCTGACAAATGCACCTTCCCCCTGCATCTGGCCAAATCATCCCACGCCAGATGTTCCTTGTGAGGGGCGGGGTGCTTCTTTGTGAGTAGCATTGCAAAGCTCCTTTGTGCTTCCCTTCACTCCGCTCTCTGTACCTGCAGATCGGACAGGGGAGGCAGCTGTTCGTTTTTGGAGGGGATGTTGCCTTTCATCGGCACTAATCGTTGGCAGCTGATCCTTCCCTGCTTTCATTAGTGCAGGCGGCTCCTCATCTGGTCAACCACTTCCCCCAATACTGGATGGGCCTGGGATTGCATTGTCTTCAGCCCCAGGCTCTCTGGATGTTCCTGGGGAGACATTCCATCCTCGTCGGATGGTCTCAGTTCTAGCTCCTCTGAACCAGCTTCTGATGGGGCCATCACATAAATCAAGATGAATAACATTTATTCCAGTTCAGATTCTTTGTGACTAACAACTCAAAGCTTTTGTATCATTTGTAATTCCTCTTCTTTATGTGTACAATCAAGTCACTCTTGATCCGTCATGATTGTCTGAACAAGTCCTTGCAGTTTTGTTGACAAGATTTCAGAAGTAGATGGCCATTGCCTTCTTCTTAGGGCTGAGAGTGTGACTGGCCCAAGGTCACCCAGCTGTTTTTTGGTTTTTTTTTGCTTAAGACAGGACTAGAATTCATAGTCTTCTAGGTTGTAACCTGGCACTTTTAATCACTGCAACAACTGACTCCCATAAACCTCTATAGGTGGTGTTAGTTTAAAGACCACTTGATCAAGATTGTAATGGCACTGAACAACTGATAGTTACGACTAATTTTTGAAGTTCTGGCCATTGCAGGGCCCACATGATCCCATGTTCATGACTTAGGCATACAACAACTGGCCTGGGTTTCTGATAGTCACTTCCCTTACAGATTTCTCGCATGCAAAGTCAACAGGAAAGCCAGCGGAAATCAGAAATCACAATTGTGTGAGGTTCTTGCTTGACACCTGCACTGTCCTCACTTAAAGATGGCAACTACGGACTGCCAGAAGTGCTATCACTAAGCAGTGTGGTCATGTGATGTTGCATTTTACAAACACATTGCTTAGCAACAGAAATTCCAGTCGCAATTATCATTATTAAGTGAGGAATATACTTTATTTGAAACAGATTATTGAAAGAACTGTTAAAAAACATGTTATCTAGCAAACACTGTTGTTTATATCAATGTGTTCTAGTAAGAGAATTTTTATCCAGATGCAAAGTTTAAGCCATTAGCAAAATGAATATATATAGAAATGTTGCCCTGGTATCTCTATGAAGAATACTAAAATAACTCAGCATTTTTATAAAACAATTGTGCTTACAACTTTCAACTTTATCTTAACAAAGCAACTTTTGTCTGGATATGTTAGAAAGTTACAGAAAGCAATTCATGAGTGGCACGTGATATTATTTATATGTTCTATTATTACTAAAGCACTATGGGACTATTACAGATGTAACAGGCTGTATAATGAATTGCTCTTTCTAGTGATATATCATTTTTATAATAACAGATACTTACACTATAACAAGTTCATATGAAATGTTTGTCACATGTGTATGGTTGATTTTATAGTTGATTTTATGCCATTTATAAAATCTATCTATAGAATTATTATAATACAGTATCAGTAAGGTAGTATATAGAAAATACTTGTACAGATTTACAAGGAAAGCTTGAAGTAGAAAGTCTTAGTTCATCAAATATCTTTGAGAAATACATTTCTGTTAGGTAACTGAACTCATTATTTGAGAACTGGCAAAAGTTTGTGTATCTATAACAGTAATCAAGTTGGTATTCCTTGTGACTCACTCAGATTCCCAAACTCTGTATCCGGAATGAAGTTTGTTTGTCCATCATTCCTTCTACAGTGGACATCTGCAGACATCCCACAATATTGATTTCCAAATATTGCACTGTGATATGTGTAAAGACAATCTGTTATTTTGAGGCAATTTTATTTTATTTCTCAATGTACTGCAGACACAGTAATGTATCAATGCATCCTAATCTCCTTTTTGACCCACTCCAGTATTATTTTATTCAGACTCATCTGGTCTCCCCAATAGTTCTGCAAAATCTATTTATATATCTGGTTTTTAGAGTTTGAGGATTGCAAATCAGCCATCTCTAAAACTAACCTGGATTTAAATTCAATTTGTGTAACCTCAGATGCTCAAAGCTTCCATACATTCATTCAAGTCCAAGAAAACTGCTCCCAAATTATTAATAGAATGGGGTCCCCAAGCCCCGGTCTGTGAACCAGTACTGGGCCGAGGCATGCCAGCAACCAGTTTGCACAAACAAGAAAAGCCCCATCCACAAGATGCAGGCGGCACACAAAACCACGCACCCTCCAGTCCGTGGAAAAACCACTCTCCACAGAACCGGTCTCTGGTGCCCAAAAGGTTGGGGACCTCTGTAATAGAATATTGAGTGTGCTCAGTATACAAACATACAATTTACCATGAATGCTTGTTTGGATAAAAAGGTGCAGCATAAATCAAGCAAGCAAATGCATTCTAAAGTTCTAGATAATTTATCCCAATGGTTTCATACAATATGGATATAAGAGTATCAACACTACTGGGAAATCAACAGGTAAAATGAGCCTGCTAATAACCATCAATCAAATCAAAAACAGCATTGTTCTTCAGCATAACTGACTGAAAATTCTAGGGCTTTAATTTTTATGCCCTAGAGGTTTCTCACGTCTACAGAGATAGTTTGATCAAGCGGTTTGCCCATTTGGTTAATTCCTATCACAACCAATGGATCGGATGTCCATGTCCTCTCCTTGAAGCTCTCTCTAGCAATGTACAGCCTGGTCCTGGCTTGATGTGGCTGCTTGTCATTTTCAACTATCTTCCAAGGTAAGCCTTTACCTGGTATCCTTCCCCCTAACTCTGGTATATAAATTAGATAGGAATCTGAAAGTCCATGCATCTTGCCAGCAGTAAAAGAAAGGAAACCGATAAAAAATGAAATCATGCCCTATCTTGGAACACACAGTACCACCAACCCACGTTATTTCAAATATTCTGATGAAAACAAAATCAGCTAGAAGAAAAAAAATCTAACACAATTTTGAACTTTGCAGATCAGTTTTTCAGCTCTCTTGTCCTTTGATCTTTACAATTTTATACAGTTTACATGGCTAAATCCCAAAAGGATTATCATGATACTGCACAATCTCATGCTTGGTCCTTGAAAAGTGTACCAAATTCAGGATCCAATCTGGGTTGATCACTGGAACCAGAGGTTTAGTCATCCGAGCTTTCATGCTGGGGCCCCACTTCAGGGAACTTCTCTCTAGCAGATTGTGTGTCTTGGGCTATTCTGTGTATGATATTTATATGGTGCCTGTTGTATGTTGTAAACCAAATTCAGTTCAAGGGCGTTTAGTTCCGGATATTGCAACCGCGGTATATTTACAAACAGCAAAAAAAATTGTGTGATACTTCGAAGAGGAAGCAAAAAAAAAAAAAAGAAAAGGAGAGCCAACTTCCAATTCATGAAGGTGCAGCTGAAACCTGCAATTCAGTTCCAGCGGACCTAGAAAATTCAAGCCCAGATATCTCTAGTCCACTTTAATATATCAAGGGACTGAAACCACCTCCCCCAGACCATTACCCTCCTAATATTCCAAAGTAGGGTAGCTTGACGTTTGAACATCTCACTTGGAAGCCCAGATCGAATAAAGGTAGTACTCCCTTTAAAAAAAAACCTGCCACCGTCTGAGTTCCCCAGCGGTCTCCGCGCGCCTCTTCTAACTTGTGCCCTGCGTCTCCTACGCGCGCATTTCTCAAGTCGCAGCAATTAGCAGGGATCCAGGACTGAACCGTACCGAGACCACTAAGAGCTTAAGCTGCGAGGCCGGCCGGGCGACTCCCCGCAGCACCATCCTCCCGAGGTACTACTTCTCTTTTCCGCAAGAAAATGAGGAAGAAGGAATCACCTGTTCGGGGCGAAGTTCCCTTCAGCGACAGCGATCGTCCTCACATCTCGTGAGCTCCGAGAGGGACTGCGGCCGCTGCAGCCGCGGAAGGACGGCAATTGTCTCCACCACCACTGCCGGTGGACGAGAAAGCCGAGGAACCTTCCCAAACTCCCACCGTCGCCATGGAGATTCTCCTTCAGGTACTACTGGGGTTGCGCATCGCGTTCCGTGGGCGCTGCCAGTAACCCGCGCCGGTCTTCCTCCTGCTCACACCGACCGCGGCCGGAAAAGGCGGAGCGAGAAAAAACAACCGGTTTGGCGGAAGCTGCGTGCTCGCGGGTAGAGTCCCTGTGCCGTTTGCTCCGCCCTCTCCCTCCCAAAGGAGGGCTTCGTGGGAGGAAGCGGTGTGGGTCTCCTTTGGCACCGCGCGGTGTGCCTTGTCTGCAACTCCCTTTTCCCGCAGCCGATGTGGTTGCTCTGCCTGAAAGCGGTGAAAGCCATAAAACGAGGCATCATCTGGATGTTTTGAGGAAGACTTACCTTTGCGTGGTAGGCTGACCCTCTGTAAAAATTTGCCTTATAACGCAAGTCTGGAGTTAGTACCATATACAAAAAGGGTTATGCGCCGGAAAAAGCACTCAGGATTAGAGCCTTTCCTGAACTTGCCTGAACTTGGAATTACGTTGTTTTCTAATAACTCCTTCAGTCTCTGAATTAATATGACGTGTAATGTTTAGCTCAATCTGTTGACTACTTTTCCTTCTTTTGTTTCATTTTGTTTGTTTTACTGTTTTGTATTTTATTCTCTATGATAAAACATAATCATAATATGACATGTGTTATTCTTTGAAACTCAACATTAAGAAAACCAAGATCATGGCATCCAGCCTTCTCAATTCGTGACAAATAGATGGGGAAGAAATGGAGGTAGTGACAGATTTTATCTTCCTGGGCTCAAAGATCACCACAGATGGGGACTGCATCCAAGAAATTAAAAGACACTTGCTCCTGGGGAGAAAAGCTATGGCAAATCTAGACAGGATTCTAAAAAGCAGAGACATCACCCTGCCAACAAAAGTGTGTATAGTCCAGGCCATGGTTTTCCCAGTTGCAATGTATGGCTGCGAAAGTTGTACCATAAGAAAGGCTGAGTGCAAAAGAATTGAGGCCTTTGAACTATGGTGCTGGAGAAGACTCCTGCGAGTCCCCTGGACTGCAAGGCGATCAAACCGGTCAGTCCTAGAGATCAACCCTGACTGCTCTTTACAAGGCCAGATCCTGAAGTTGAAACTCAAGTACTTTGGCCACCTAATGAGAAGGAAGAACTCACTGGAGAAGAGCCTAATGCTGGGAAAGATTGAGAGCAATAGAAGAAAGGGACGACAGAGAATGAGGTGGCTGGATGGAGTCACTGAAGCAATAGGCGTGAGCTTAAATGGACTCCAGAAGATGGTAGAGGACAGGAAGGCCTGGAGGAACATTGTCCATGGGGTTGCGATGGGTCAGACACGACTTTGCAACTAGCAACAACATGTTGTTACATTACAGTGTTAAGTTCTATGAAGGAAATAAAGAAATGTTTGTTAGTTCCTCTACATAGGATTTCTCATCAGCCAAATAGGCCAAAATTTAAAAAAAAAGTCAAAATAGTAGTCAAGTTAGAAATATCTTTTTTTATTTTAAAATTTTACAGATTAATAAATAAGATTGTCAGAAACCTTAATAGCCTTTGCTAATTTGCTAGTTGAAAGGGCAAATACAACATCCCTATATCTATTTTTTTAAAGCAAAGCTAAAGTTACTGAGCATTTAACAAATTTATATGCATATTATTTTGGAAACTAATAAAATAGTCCTTTTTAAATTTATTTGTTCTAACTATATTGCAACACAATGGCATTTAAGCAGTAAGCCTATAACATCCACATGTTCCCATCTATTCCACTGTTTGTGTCCGCATGTTAATTTAAAGCATGTTATTTCATCACTACCTCATCCTTAACATTACATACAGGGTGGATAATAATAATTTTTTTAAAAAAATTAAACAAATTGGATTTTTTAAAATTAAAATCAGATTTTTTTGATTTTTATCAAATTTATTTTAATAAAATGCTTTTGGAGTAAAAATCTATCTAAATATAGTTTACTATTTAAGATACATCAATAATTTAGTTTATTCAGCATGAACTGGAGCTTAGTTATGTAGCATGAGGCTGTATATTCTGCAATGTTTACATTTTTGGTAAACTCATTCAATGAATCCAAGCTTTGCAAGCTGAGATAACATGCACTGCATTTATGCATTCGCACAATTTCACAGTAACAATGAGATAAATCATAAAACAAAGTCAAAGAATATTCTTTTATCCCATTGTTTTGCTAATCTAGGTATGCTACAAACTGTATGATTGTTTGAAGAAAAATGCATCTGTATCAGGCTCTAAGTGTTTTAATTAAATAAAAGAATTTCAGTATTTTTCCAACTATTGTGTTTCCCCAAAAGTAAAACCCATTCTTATATTATTTTTTGCCTCCAAAGAGGCATTAGGTCTTATTTTGGGGGGATGACTTATATTTTTGTGACACCTGCCTCGCCTCACATTGGCAGCACCAATAACCCTGTCCAACATGTGCCCACGTGGCTGCCAGCCCACTTCTGTGACTGCTCGAAGCAGGAGGCCACGTGGCACATTGTGTAACTACCACGAGGAGGTGATGCAGGTGGAGGTGGTGGAGCTGCCCCATGCACCCTGGTTACTTCAGGGCCCCACAGCCAGGCCATTCCTTGCTCGGCGACCTTCCCTTTCACTCCCCTTCCGAGCCAGACTGCCATGCTACGAAAGATGGGCGGGGTAGGCCTGGCCCTCATCCGCCATTTTGGAGCCAGGGAGGAGTGACGGCAAAAAGCTCCGCTGCCACTGTGCACTGCTGGAGGAGTTTTCTTTGCACTTTGCCCCACAGATCATCTGCCCGATGACAGCTGCCTCCTTCTCCTCCACCAACTCTCCCTTAAAAAAGTCCAAACCTTCCAACTTCTCGCGAGGTCTTTTTTTTTTCGTGAGAAGTTGGAAGGTCTGACTGAAGTTTTTTTAGTCCCACAAACTCCATTTCCCTGCAGCAGAAGAGAAATGTGCCCGAGCTGGAAAGGTTAGTGAAGAAATGCTTTTGGGAAGAGAGAGGAGCTGGGCGGTAGTATATCAAACTCTACAGCAGCGCCAGGAGGAGAAACGGCTGAAAACAGGGCAGCCATTTCCAAACAGAGAAGAGAAACACGGGGAGATGCAGGGAGGCAAGCAAGTACTCTTCTCTGCTCTGCATCGCTGCACAGAGCTGCTGCCCTCCCCGTTCTCTCCAGTGGCAGCGCAGGGCTGGCGGAGGGAGGCGGCAGGGGAGGCTTGTGCTGCCCGGTCACAGCGCAAGCCACGGGAGAGTTGGTGGAGTAGGAGGTGATGGCTGCAACTGGGCAAATATTCTGTGGGGCGAAGCGCAAAGAAAGCCCCTCCAGCGGTGAACAGTGGCAGCGGAGCCTTTCGCCGTCACTCCCCCCAGCTCCAAAACAGCGGAGGGGGGCCAGGCCTATCCTGCTCATCCTCCATAGCATGGTAGCCTGGCTTGGGAGGGGAGTGAAAGGGAAGGTCGCCGAGCAAGGAATGGCTTGGCTGGGGGGGGGGCTGAATAAGCAGGTGTGGGTGCATGGAGCAGCTCCACCCCCTCCCCCAACTGCCTTGCCTCGTGGCGGCAGCGGCGCAACACACTGTCTTGCCCCATTGCGGCAGCGAGGTGGGACGGAGTGGGCAGGGTCCTAACTAGGGATTATTTGTGGGGTAGGGCTTACATTAGGCCCAACCCAAAAATCAGGATAGCTCTTATTTTTGATGTAGGTCTAATTTTCGGGGAAACACAGTATGTTTGATTAACCTATTAACCTAAAATCAGTTCTGATATTGCTGTTTTACTAACCTGACAGCCTATTATTCTAAATAAGAAGCCTTCATTTTGTTTGCAAATAATATTAAAGATTTTAACTACCAGCTAGAATGAGTCCTTACATTTAAAGAGCACCTATCATTTCAGATCCATCATAGCCGCGCCTGTTAGTAGGCATCCACTCACCTGCTGCCCGCCACATCCCTCACCTTGTTCTGTCACTGCTGCATCACCAGCTGTCCCATTAAAGTGAATGGGACTGTCAGTGAGTCAACAGCGGGTCAGAGGAGCCACTGCAGGACAGAGATGACAGTTGCTTTTTTAAAATTATGATTTAAATCGACTTGATTTAAATCAAATCCACCCTGATTACACAACATGTAAAAGAAGGATCAAATTAGTTTCAAGTTACAGGGCTCCACATAAAAACTGTTCTCCCAAAAGCAAATACATCTTTTAAAAATAAATTAACTTCTGCTAACACCCTTAGTTTTATAAACCTTTTAGAACAGGCATGTCAAACTCGCAGCGTCATGTGATGTCACATGACGTATTGGGACTTTTCCCCCATTGCTGGCAATGGGGTGGGCGCGGTTTGGTGTGACGCATCCGGCCCACCGGCCGGCAGTTTGAACATGCCTGTTTTAGAAGATGTGTACAAGTAATTTACATGTAAATGGATATACATTTTAATAAATACTTGTTTGCAAGTTCACACACTATACAACTGCATATACCCTAAAGTCAAGATTGGCCATAGTTTTCTGTTACAAATTGTGTGGAAAACATTGCTAAATGTTTAATAAATGCTGCTCAAATAGCATCAAGCTAATATTTAGGCCAAATCACTTGGGGTTGGCATGTCATTGAGTTAAATTTCCTAATTAGTGTTTCTGAAAAATATCCATAAGATTATTAAAATTATTTTCCCCTAATAATTTATACAGTATTTAATTTGTACTCCAAAGGATTAAAATGCTATCCTCAAGCAGGAATCTAAGACTCACAACTGTAGTGAGAGATACAGATCAACAGCATATGTAAATTTGACTCTCCAAACATTTCTGCCATATTTAAAGTCTGCTTTAAAAATATTAAAGTAGTCCATTCTTTTCTATTTTAATCTAGTGTTTCCATCTTTCATCTTTATTTCATTTTCAATAGAATTATATTCAGGATTAATCCAGGCTATTACTATTACCAAGCAATGTCGTATCCAGTGAAATCCCATTTTACCAAACTTTTATCTGAACATTACATGTATAGCTTAACAAGTTTCTTCAATATATTTTGTTTAATAACATCACACAAGCAGCATACTTTTAATTAGTTTGCATTATTATGCAAATATTGCAGTGCTCAATTCTGACTCAGTAGAAATTCTTGAATAATTAGCACCTATTCCCAATTCATTAAAATTTTGGTTCACTGTATATGAAATCAAGCAATTTTCTCTTTTACACCCATACAATCAGCAACCAAAACAATTTTTGGAAACGATATATGGGGTAGTAAGAGCCTAAGAGGCATTTTCAGAACAACCGTACATGTACCGATATTAATTTTAATTCTCATCACAGTATTAACAACTGAAGATAATTCCAATGTATTTTGCATTG